ATTTAGGACTAAGAAACAGAAAAGTTCAATAAGAAGAAAATAAAGACAAAAAAGAACTAGAGAAAAGCATTTCCTGTGAAAATGCTGGTGTGAATGCTTATTGCTGAAAACCTCAGCTGAAAGCTGCTGAAATGGAGCTGAAAATGTTTTATTCCAAAACTGTTAACGACAGCTCCATTTGAAAAGATGAAAGAAGCACAAAAACAAGATGAAGGAGCAGAAGAATAGCAGAAATAACCAAAAAAAACAGCTAAAACTGGTAAAAAAACAAGCTAAAATGTAGGATACTAGTTGAAATTTGCACCCAGATGGTGAAAGACGTGTAAAAATGTCAAATTAGTAGGAAAAAATAGAGACAATTTGTTGTAAAAAAAGCTAAAACGGCCTAAATGTGCGATAAAACAGCTAAAATCTAGCTAGAAAATCTTAAATTAGCACAAGGAAGCATAAGGAGCACAAGTTTGCTGAACTAAGCAGAAAAAAGTTAAAAAAGCCACCAAAATGTGAATTTAGCCTAAAAAAGCTAACTTTAGCTTTTAACAGCTAAATTTTAGCAAAATTTTCCAAACGAGATATGTGCTGAAGAACGTGGAGAAGAAAAACTGATCTGTGTGAATCTCGTGAAGCATTCGCACGATTAATCTGAAGAAACTTGTTGGAGAAATGACAACGAAGATAGAAGAAGAAAAGTAAAAAGATGAAGAAAAATTAAAAGAAAACAAGGAACAAGAAAGAGTAAAATAATAAAACGTTGAAAATAAACTCATGAATAAAGAAGCTGCAGCCGTGTCTCCGGTTAACGGCGTGCTCTGACCGATTTCACCACGCGTGCTCTCGTCGTTGAGCGAGCCGAAAGCGATGGCGGGAAGCAGGATGGCGATGTAGAGGAAGATGGCCGTGGTCATGTACTTCAGCAGGGTTTTATTACCGCCGACTATACCTGAGGGGAGACGAACAAAGTGTCAGACGCAGCTCAGAAGGAGGCGAAGGCTCTGAGATTTAAAGACGACACAAACATTAACCCAAGTCATCGCTTACTTCCTGCAATGAAGAACATCTAGAAGCAGCTTTAATCGCTTTAATTCACCGTTTTATAAGCACAGATCTACAAAAGATGGATTATGTTCTGGAATAAAACATTTTAATTGGGCTCTAAAGTGACTGCAGTGGTTTTGGTCTTGTGACCTTCATGAGTCGATGATTATCTGCAGAAACTCATGCTGAGAGGTTTTCTGACGGTTCAAAGAGAAAAATCTGAAGCAAGAAGAAAACTGCTGCTGTTTTTCATCAGTTCTAACAGAGAGCTGGGTTCAAAGTTCTGCTGACGAACTGGACCTGTACAGCTTTGGAAACTTTGTWCCCACTGTCTGTCAGGACCAAATGTCCCTGCTTTGTACCCAGCCACACTGCTGAAGATTTTATCTACGAAAGGATCATTTGAAGGGTTTTATTATTATTATTACTATTATTATTATTGCTATCATCATCATCATCATCATCATCAGTAGTAGTAGTAGTAGTAGTACTAGTAGTAGTGGTAGTAGTAGTAGTAGTAGTAGTATCATCATCATCATTGTTACTATTATTTCCAATACATTGGAATAATTTTGTAAATTATACTCTATAGAAAATTTTTTATTTTTATTTTTAAATAATATTTTATGGTTATTTCAGGCCCATATATCAGCGTAGTATACCTGGTACACCTGGTACATATAGTAAAACTAATATACCTAGTACAACTGGTACATATAGTACAACTGGTACATTTAGTATACCTGGTACATATAGTATACCTGGTACACCTGGTACATATAGTAAAACTAATATACCT